AAGGGTGTGAATTTGCAGGGAAGCATGGTGGATTGTAAACAACCAAAGAGAATCACTTAAGAGACAATCTATAAGAGTTAAAATATAAAAGGAAAATGCCCATCAACAAAAATACACCCCCTTTTCTAATTGGTTAAGGGTTTTAGGATACTTGGGGTTAAGCATTCTTAGGTTTGAATAATAATTGATTAGGTGGCCTCCTTAGAAGTCTAAATTTAAGAGTTTTCATTAATTATAAACTATATATTTATTTTTCCAATTTGCTAGTTTACCTCGTTTATCTGACCACCACTGTCTTAACCTTAGTTAAATTCTCTAGCCAAGGTTCCTACCTATTGTACCAACTTCTACTTGGTCCTACTTAGTTTCAACTACTTATTGCATGAACAACAAAGTGTTAGCCATCCATCCACAGATTCCTAAATTCTTTCTACATCCCTTTCCCTAGATTAAACTAAATTTAAGGTTTGGTTAACTCCCCACAAGTACAAACAGCCAAACACACCAAGCCTCTAGATTCCTAACATCCCTTGGTGCAACAAAACTTAATTATGGATTAAATCCCAAGCCTTTAGTGCATCACTTGTTTCAAGACCCCAAAGGGAAACACCGTGGCCTAATAACCCAATATGGGTATCTCTACTCCCTCACTTCCATCCCAAAGGGAAAGCCCAAGCCCTTAAGAAGGAGTGAGGACTAATGAACCGCAAAGTACTTAAGTACGGCACCATTCTATATGAGTCAAGAGCACTACAATTAATTAGAGTGAGTTACTTTTAAGAACTTTTTTGGGTAGCCTCTTTAACACCACCCGAGTCCATGCTCACTCCTATCAAAGCCCCTAACCCCCAATCTCAACCTCAAGTCAGTTTGGAAGCATTATGAGAGAGTTCCTTCAAAATTGGCTCATAAACTTCACTATCCTTATTATACTTTTTGGAGCTTATACTTTCCATAAATAATCAATGGGACTGAAATAGGACTAACACAAGTTGCATAATAGCAAGAGTATTTGGCAAATACAGTAAGCTATCATTTGGTGATATTGAGGGACAGACAAAACCCCTAAGTATGCTTAGCTAATAGTATATAGGAATTTCATCCTTATGCTAGTTTAGTCTAAGTACACTCAAAATCCCAATTAATTCTACTACCACAAAAGGGACTGATAAAGATTCTAACAATATTGATTGCTTACCGTTGTAGCAATAAAGAAAGAATATTTAAAAGGACTAGCCAATAGGTAATTTTTGATACCCGCAATCACACTCGCGACAATACACCTAAGGATTTTGAGATTTTCAAATATCACATGTAATGCATGTGATCATTGGATGAGATTTGGATACACTGTCACTATGGATTTTTAGAACTTTAGGGGATAAATAGAAATAAAATAACCATTAAGGGCTCTCTTATCAAGTAATTACCCTTTTTCCAGTTAGCTTAAGGGGAGAGAGATAAGGTGCTATATATGTGATATCGGAGCAAATGACACAGGTTCAATTTCCATTAATTAGTGGCTACTTTAAAAAAATTTAATATATCCTTGAGCAAGGTATATTCCTATCCCTAAATTTGAAATCGTATGTAATAGGCATCCATGCGTATGTCTTTCCTCTTGGTGGAGCATCCACGGACAAAGATATCCACTGTAAGACTGTAGTATGGGTAGATGACAAGTTGCTTTATATGAAATACTTGGTTTACACAATAGAAGAATTGGTAGATTCAGTGTAGAAATGGAGGTGTTTATTCCCCTTGTCTTAGTAAAGGTTGTTAGTCAATAATCAATAAGGACATTGACATCTCTGAAAGGGGGGTGAATGGAAGGATTGGTATAGTTAGTCTACACAATAAAAGAATTGATAGATTCAATGTGGAAATGGAAGTGTTAATTCCCCTTGACTCAATAAAGGTTGTTAGTCAATAATCAATGAAGACATTGACATCTTTAAAAGGGGGGTGAATATAGCGTATGTGATCATGGGATGAGATTTAGATATACTATCACCGTGGATCTTTAGAACCTTGGCTAGAAATAGCCATTAAAGGCTCTCTCATCAAGCAATTATCCTTTTTCCAATTGGCTTAAGGGGAGAGAGATAAAGTGTGTTACATGTGGTATCAGAGCAAATGGCATAGGTTCGATTCTCATTAATTAGTGGCTACTTAAAAAAATATAATATACCCTTGAGTAAGATATATTTCTACCCCTAAATTTGAAATCGTGTGTATTGGGCATCCATACATACGTCCTTCTTCTTGGTGGAGCATCCACGGACGAAAGTATCCACCATAGGACTATAGTACAGGTAGATGACTAGTTATATCACATGGAATAATTTGTCTATACAATGGAAGAACAATAGTCCATAAAAGACATTGACATCTCTAAAGGGGGGGTGAGTGTAGCACATGTGATCATGGGATGAGATTTAAATATACTATCACCGTGGATCTTTAGAATCTTGGGGGATAAATAAGAATAAAATAGCCATTAAAGACATTGACATCTCTAAAGGGGGGGTGAGTGTAGCACATGTGATCATTGGATGAGATTTAAATATACTATCACCGTGGATCTTTAGAATCTTGGGGGATAAATAAGAATAAAATAGCCATTAAAGGCTCTCTCATCAAACAATTGCCCCTTTTCCAGTTGGCTTAAGGAGAGAGAGATAAAGTGTCCTACAACACCTTTCTCCAACATCTTTTTGATATTTGTGTATAAAATTTTGATTTCCTTTGATGATTGATACCAAATAGGAACCTTGATTAAATGAGTATCTTTAGTTAAAATAGAATGACACATTGCAATTTTAGCCCTAAATAATAGATTGAAATTAAAGAGATAAAAAACCTCCTTTTTGAGCCAATCAATTACAAAGGCCGTTTGAGGGATCTAGAGAAGAATAGAAACACAAGAAGGAAACACAATAAAAAGTAATAGAGAGATAAAAGTGATGGAAATAGAAGTAAAAATAAAAGGACAAAATGAAATAAAAGTGAAAGGAATGGAAGAATGATGAAATAAAGGGTTAAAGCTTTAAAGTTACTCTCAGCATAATTGCACTATAAATAATCTATACTAAGGATGACACTAAAAGCTTGATTTAGCACCACTTGTAATAATTGAAGCTTAAAATTGAGAACACCTATATGCACAACTAAGTTTGCTTCATCTTATATATATATATATATATATATATATATATATATATATATATATATATATATATATATATATGTGTGTGTGTGTGTGTGTGTGAACAGGCATTGTTATAAAGAATGAAAATTAGTTCTACTACATAACATAACTATAAATGGCAATATGTGGCAATAAACTGAATGATAGAAGATAAACTCAAACCCATATCAACCAATATAAAGAGGATAATATAGGACTTTTTATTATAAAAACAAGTTTTATAAGTAAACATTGAATGAATTGGTGCTAAGTGAACCCTTTAATAGTACTTTTAAAAGATGAATAGAAGAGTCATTAACTTATTTGTGCAAAAACCCTCCACTACTTATATAACTCTTTATTTCCTAAAAGAATTTTTATATTAAAACCTTTCCACCCAGCATTGTTCTAACCAGTGCGAAACAGAAGAAAGAGTTAGATCGACAATGAATAAAACTCTAGCCACACCAACAAAACATTATTGATGCCAAGGCCTTCACTTAGGAAATAGAGGATGTTAATCCAGAAAACATCAACAATGCTGATATATATGGCTAACTTCATTACACATTTAGTAATGAATATTATGGCCACAACTATGTCCTCACCCCACAAGCAATAATAACATCAACTTTCATTAGAACAGGATCATCTCATACATAAATTAAAGATAAAGAACGTGCAATGACAAGTGGGAGAAGTGATATCTCATAATATTGTGTTAAGTGAAGAGTATTATCAAGGGTGGTTAGGGCAAATGCATACAGAAGTCCTACAAGATTTTGATAAATCACTAACTACAATATTCTTAATTTGATTTTCTCTAATATATTTGGCTTTATATGGAGTAAAAAGCTTTAGAAACAAATACCAAATTGTATAACTAATTCAGACAACTCTTGATAAAGATGATACAATTGCTAAAAGACATCATTATAATTTTCAATATGTTCAAATGCATGCTTGAAGACATCTGGAAGAACGCTTCAATCCATATGAGTGCATACACTCAAATTATTGTACTATTGCAATGCTATCCCTTGGAGATATATAGGAAACTTGCATAGATGCAGACATCATCCCAAGGATAATAAGTGGTAATCACCGTAAAGTGATCAAATTAATGGTATACATCATCCCTAAGATTCCACAAAAGAACTCTAGTTAAACATAAGGATTGGCAACAAGAGTAAATTAAATTGCACCACATGTCTTGAATTCTACTATCAATTGAGTTTGATTGTTTCGCTACAACCACATAACATTAAGCAATTGTATTTAAAGTCAAAGGAGGAGGAGGCTATTACTCTATCATGAAGTCAAAATAAACCCTAAACAAAAATGAAAAACACATAAAAAAGAAATGGAAAAAGTTATAAAAATAAGAGAGACTTAGATAATGCAAAAATTAAATATAAACTAAAAGTACAAATCTAAGCATTCCTTAAGCACAATTATTATTACATCTACACCAATGTGAGTGCATTGAATTTAGAAATATGTATATTCAATTAGGCCAAAAACTCTAGTTTATATATAGGAGCAAATGGTCCAAAATGAAGTTAATATAATAACTACCAAAAGAAGCTTTTGAAATAGATTGGTCATGTTTTGAGTGGTGAGGAACCTTAAAGAAGTGTAGCATAGTCTACCTTTTTTATTTTTAGTGCTGGATTATAGAAAATTTCCTAATACTTATATATTGTATTTTATATTTTTATCTCTCTCTCTCTCTCTCTCTCTCTCTCTCTCTCTCTCTCTCTCTATCTCTATATATATATATATATATATTGGTATTATTAGTCTAGTATATATAAATATCTTTTAGAATTTGAAGAAGGTACATTTTTTCAAGCATTATTTATCTTGAAAAAAAAAATTCGAGAGTCAGGATGGCTAGACCAAGGCGAAACATGTTGCCTGATTAAAAACTCATTGGACATCGACAAAGCCGTGCACAGCAGGAGCAATACACAGGAGATGGACGAGCAGCACAAATCCACTATGGCATGCTTCGTACGTGAACATCCACTTATCCACATACGAAGGTAGTAGCTTCTCATCCTCTGCAATCAATTGAAATAAATCAAGTAAAGCTTGCCCGGACTAGTGGCTTACCTCTCGGTTTATGAAACGCGTAGACATGCACGAAGTTGTGACCAGCCACGACACCAAAGGCCAGTTGCCTGCGGGGCTGGGACGAGAACATCTCCCTCACACCAAGAATCATCCTTCCCACTGCCCAGCCATAGTGAATCTCCTCGCTCGAAACTTGCAGCATCCACACCACCTTGGACCAATCCAGGGTGTCGTCACTAACGTCGACGAGAGAAGAACCTTGCACGAAGTAGAAGCTCCCAGTGAAGCAGTTGCTGGAGATCATATGGTACACGACGGGTGCTTCCCGGATGATTGTGTCGAGCAGGGCGCGGAACCCATACATGACTGCCACTTCCTCCTGCTTGAACAGATCGGTGACGAGCGCTTCCTCTTCTGGATCCTCAAAGCCTCCCAACGCCAAGTGCCACCAAGAATCCCAGCTCGCCATCGCAGCCTGCAGCTTTAGCTGCAGCTCAGTGCTAACACCCCGAGAGGTGGAAAACAGTCCGTCCTCCTCAAATTTTGCATCCTCGATGTTCAAGTCCAAGGCTGCACAATCCAGCGCTGCCTCGCGCACCTCCTTTGGCATACCTGTGCCAGGAAGATCATATCATCACAAGGAAGATCATAATAGAACGCTTACTTGGATCGACTACACCCTTGCCCACAAGGCCCTTGGCAATCCATTGTGGCACACCCCAATCAACAAGACGCCCAGTGTAGACCCTTTGATCTCTAAAGTCCGCTGCTTTGCAAATGCCCTTGCTCACCAGCAAATCCGCCACCCTCTCCTTGTCCGAGCTAGGTAGCGATGGAAACACTCTTTCTAAAAGTTGGCGCACCGGTGTGACCTTTGGAATGCGTTTGCGCTGGAGAGCCTCCCACATCTCCCTCGTCGCCATAAGCCAGCTTAGCCAAAAGCTAACCTAGGATTGAACCCAAGACCTCTCCACAGAGTTATATCGTTTGTACGGCCATTTCTCCGTACCCCACAGTCTTTGTGCAAGGTTTTGCGGGATGGAGGCGCTCCAAGGCGCAGCGATCGGGAATGCGTCGCCTCTCGGCGATCCTCCACTCTCCGAAATCCAGGTACTGGATCGCCTTAGGTTTCTCTTTGCCCTGTGCTCAGCTTGGATCCGACCGCTAGAAAATGGAGAGCGAGAGGAGATTGTGCGGCATTTGCGACGCCATTGTCGTGGAAAGGGGTTTGCTCGACTGCTGCGACCATATGTGAGTGCCGGTTTCTAAGCTTGCGACTTTAACTCTTCTGCTTCTTCGTCTTCTTCTTCCAGGTTTTGTTTCTCGTGTATCGAGGACTGGGCTACCGTGACGAATCTATGTCCAATGTGCAAGGCACAGTTCAAGTTCTTGACGTTCTTGGCGACTGTAAGTCTTGTTTTTTTTTCTTCTTGCTTTTCTCGCCGCAGCTATCTAACTAGAGCTCATGCTTAGAAATGTCAAGAATGACGAAGCGATTCAAGGAAGGAATGAGAATTCTTTCGTTGAAACAAGGTACTGGATCGATCGACCTCGCATACTGTGTGTGCTGCTCCTGATCATCGTGCTGTAGGGTGGCCGAAGAAGCCTTCTCTTATTTTATTGATGAGGAGGTACCTTGTTCTTGGGTTTGGAGTGTTAAGATTGACACGGCTGATTCTTCCAGGCTATCGCGTGCCTTGATGGCGATGACTGCAAGCTCCGCATGCAAGCACTTCAAACAGCGTTCGTGGATACATCCGTGGCTTGTGATAAATGCGATCGCTGGTATGAAAGTCTCTGTTACTACCTAGCTGCTTTAATAATCTCGCTCGTGAAATCTTCAGGTACCATGCTTGCTGTGTTGGCTTTGATCCTGGGAAACCAAACGAGCGAACCTGGCTCTGTCCAAGGTACAATATCTGGGTTTGGACTGGTTGCTGATTGCGTCGCCAGGTGTGCTCTCCCTAACGAAGCCGTGGCTGACGAGCAAAAGGAAACTGTTACGGAGAAAAGTGCTAAACATGAAGAGGTTGCTGCGTCGATGAGCTTCGCTTTCATGGAAACAGGAGAGTCTGCTATTGTGATATCCATGGTTGGCGGGAAGGAAGGCAATGCGCAAGCGGAGCCTAGTAGTTTACCACCTTCGTCATCGCTTCCAGAGCCCCAGGAACACACAAGCCTTGACAAGCTTCTTGAAGATTTGGGCAAGCAAAATGCATCTGTTCATAACGACGAAGAGGGGCAAGAGCTTGAGGAGTTCGAAGAGGAACAAGAGTTTAAGCACGACGAGAAAGATGTAGAAGAGGAGTTTGGAAACTTCGGAGAGGAACAGCAGCTGGAAGATTTCGGTTTTGAAGATGCTGAGGAAGAACAAGAGCTGGAATTTGTGGAAGAGCAACAACAGGGACAGGAGGTAGAAGATTCTGAACAGAGAGACGAAGAACCTTGTCAAGATTTTCAGGTGGAGCCTCAGGTTTCGATTGACAGAGAAGACGTCGGACAGGAGTTGGCTGGGCCAGCCACGGACTTTGTTCCATCCGAGACTCTTCAAAACGTGACATCAGAAGCCGACGTCGAGATGAAAATCGAAGAACTCGTCAGTGATGATGACTCCGACGTTAAACTCAGGTAAGAACTATTTTTTCATTCACAAACTTTGACACTGAAGGACGTACAGGCATCAGGTTGTCAAAGGTCGCGCTGTAGCGGAGGATTCTTCAGAAAAGCAAAACCAGACAGATGGGAAAGGCGTGAGAACCAGAATTATAATGAGGAGGGATGTAGACGACCAATCTCTTGCTGAAAAAATTCGCCGGCAAGTTGTAGAAGCGGCTGGTGGCGATGGAGCACAAGTATCCAACGAAAATCTATTGGCTGCTTACAAGGCAGCAATCGTCAAACGGGATGGACCAAAGCAGAAAAAGGCGGTCGACACTGCCAGGAAAAACTTGAAGAGAAAGCTATATGGTGGTATACGTGGTCGCCAGGTTTATGATAGGGACTGGGACGTCGCATTTTGGAGGGACAAGGTCCTGGGTGACAAACGAAGAAAACCGGAACAAGAAGAGGCAGAGAATACCGAGTCTACTCCTCAGCAAGCTGATTCGATACTTGACAGGCTCTGCTTTGCCGACTGCTCATTGCTTCCTAAGAAGGAGGGCTTCCGGCCTCCGCCAGTGACCGAAGACAAGCCAAGGCCGAAGCCGACCTTACACCAAGCTTCCAAAACGTTGGAAGTGAAAACTGAGGTGCCGGTCGATGGAAATGCTGAGAAGGACAAGAAACAATGGGCGCTTGAGCTTTTGGCGAGGAAGAACAAGCAGCAAGTCCGGTCCACTCATGATACATTGAAGGGGAACTTCGTGCATCTGGTAAAAAAATCTAAATGAGACTCTGAGATGTTCTAACGTGTGTTCTCTGGCAGCCAAAACTTCCTATCGATATGAGACCATCTATAGAGCCTAATCCTCGAAGTAAAATTCCGAGTGCTGTTAGACAGGTGAGGTCCCCTACTCTTCTTTTCTCTAAAACATTTTCCCGTTATTTTCAGATTCAGCTGAACCGGTTAACGGACCACTACTTGAAGAAGGTCAAGATTGGAAGAAATCAAGCTTCCGAGGATGCAGTGAACGCTGCGCTTTCAAAGGAAGCTGAGATCTTTTTAAGATCGAACAGTAAAGGCGTCTATGTCAATCTCTGTGCAAGGGCTTTGGCTCAAGGAGACGCTCCACCAGCTAAGGCCAACGTCGAGACGAACAAGGATGTTGTTGCTGAAGCCTTGGTGGCGGCCGGTTTGGTTTCAGATTCTCCTCCCGGAAGTCCTCTCCCTCAAGAAGAAGCGGCTGCTCAACCGGGTGCTCAACCGGCTGCTGATGTTATTGAAGCTCCAGAGGCACAAGAACCATCTCGGGGTACCGAGGTTTTAACGAATCCAGGGTCGGGGAAGCAGGGAATAACTGCGTTACTCGAGCATCTCAGGAAAGAAGAGGAACCAGAATTACCGGGACTGGAACCAGTTTGTACTCCTTCAGGTAAACTCTTGGCTCGAAGTTGTGCAATTTGCTCAAGCATGATTCGCAGAATCCAAACAAGAAAAAGCGGATGTCAAAAGCGAAAGCTTACACGTTCCGGAAGGTGGCTCAAATGCAGCTGACGCTCCGGAAAGTGACTCAAATGCAACGGATGCTACTGTGTCTGCGAAACAGGAAGATACTACAGCTCTGACAAACGAAGAAACAGTAAAAGAAAAGGAGGAGGAGAAACAGAACCCGTGCAAAGTTGCAGGTAATCGTGTTGAATCGTATGCTTTCTTTAATACCTCGTCAACATTGCAGATAGCGAAAAAGATATTGAGAAGAGTCCTGTTGATCACAAGGAAGGTGTCAAGAACCAAGAAAATGCGAAAGTCGAGGCCATAAAACCCGAGCAAGACGCTACAGCCACCAAAGCTCACGCGGACAAGCGCGCGGACAGAAGCTCGAGAAAACACCCGAGGGATCCCGCCAGGCCGGACAGGCATGCGGCGAGGAAGAAGGAGAAAGTCGGCCCCGAGGACCCGATGAGCGACGAAAAATTCTCGGAGCTGGACAGCCGCATCGACCGAGTCAGGAGCAGCATCGCGCAGCAGTTCGGCGAGAACAGCGACATTGCCCAACAGATACGAGAGAGCTCCGGGAGCCAAGCTCCAAAGCCGCGTAAGCCAGCGCCGGATCATCCTCGAAAGCACCAGAGATCGTCTCCATCCGTGCAAGAACAGGTTTTTTCGTGCATTTTTCTTTGGTTTTTCGTGCTTGTGTTTTGATCGTTTGTTGGCGTGATCATCAGGTGGAAATGTATGTCAAGGAACACATAAGACCACTGTACAAGAGTGGTGTGATCATGGCCGAGCAATACCAGTGGACTGTGAGCAAGACTACTGCCAAAGTTATGCAGCATCACAAGGACGCTCCCTCGGCGGAATTTCTCATAAGCGAAGGCGGAAGAGTGAAAAAATTGGCCGAGCAATACTTGCAAAGGTTTGCGCAAGAGAAGAAGGAATCAAAGAAATAATAAAAAGTATCATCTTTTTGGCCACGTTGAAGATACTTTCCTCGTGACAATATACACGTGGCAGGATCGACTTGCATAGGTTAGGGTTTATCTTTGTTTGGAGGGGAAGAATCGATCGATCGATAGCGGAGACTTGCGAAGGTAATTTCTTGCATCGCGCTTCGCGATTTGTGAGTGATCGGTGCTCTCCCTCTCGCAGCAGCATGGCGGCGTCTTTGATTGCATGTGTTCCAGCGACGATCCCACGGCAATGTAGCGGATTTGGCAGCAGCTCCTCCTCCCTGGCGGCGGCGCCGCGCATTTGCAGCGTGAGATGTCGCGCTTCCTCGGAGAATGGATCCCACTTCGCCCAATTTCTCAACCTAGATGCTTTCGACAACGCTCTCCAGGTAAGATTTTGGGCTTTGCTTTGCTTTGCTGGGATGTTCTTAGCTGTTCTTCTGTGGTTTCCAAGGTTTTCCGCGATGAATCGAAGGGAATAGTTTGCTACCGGACCCCGACTGGAGAGATCACTTGCGAAGGCATCGACGAGGGTCCTCACTTCGAGCCTGCTGCCGAGAATCAAAAGGGGTAAGAAAGGATCCTTTTTCTTTTCTTCCTTTCGTGTTCTTGGGATAGTTTTCATGGTTTTTCTCTTTGTTTCCGCAGACTTTTCCTTTCGCAGCTACTGTTTGTCAAAGGCGCTGAAGAACCACTCGTGAATGTACGATTTTTCTTGATTTTATGTTGCTGTGATGAATCGAATCTAACACTTTGGATGATAGGGAGCTGGAATTTAAGTAAAGGACTATAGCGATGATATTGTTTCGTTAAAGTATGACTAAAGGATCACACCGCGTGTATGTTTCAAACCAAAGCCTAAATGTGACGGGGAACCATGTAAATTCTCATACTCTATCAATCTTTGTCGATATCAGTCGATTATTAAATTACTGGAAAGATCCAACGGCCTGGATCGCGACTCGTTTGTGCGGTCCAGATCGTTTAGTATTTTAGCCGGCTTGGCCACGTGAAGGCAGTCAGTTAGTTACTAGCGCCATCGCTCAAGAACCCTACCGCGCCCTCTCAGCGAAGCTGATGAAGTCATGCCGCCGTGAGGGCGCCAAAGGAGCAATCGATCGGCATCGATCCATTGCGGTAATCAGCATTTGGCATCGCAATGCCGGATCCAAGGAAGCTGCCTTGATGATCTTCCCCTAGGGTTCTACGCATCGCGGGGGATGAGAATGACGATCTCGGTAAGCAAAATGTGGATTTCTTTTGTTCTTCGTCGATTCTCATCGAAGCCTTCGCTCCAGAGCGAAGAGATGAGGTGTGGAGCGTGAGATTTCGACTTGGCATTGGGACAAATTCTTCATAGATCATGGGAAGGTATCAGAGTCCGCTAGTGAAACACGATCTTTCCCGGCTGGAGGACCCCGAGAGCCGGCACATCGCTCTCACGTCGCTCAAGAACTGCGTCAAGCAACTGGAAGCCGAGTGCCTCCCATTCTTCCTCGACCAGATCAGCGAAGCTCATCACGATATCTCTCGCCCCTACGTTATCTCCCTCTACGAGGACATAGCACGGACACACCAAACGCTGCTGGTACCTTACATTCCTCGAATCATGGAGGCACTGATCACTGCTCTCTCTGAAAGTGGCAGCTCGCTCCACGTCCACCGCGCGTGTGCCAAGGTGGTGGCCGCGCTCGCAAAGTTTTGCATCGATCTGGAGAGGTTGACGCATCAGGCCAAGGAGGTTCTACGCTTGCTCTGCGAGCCACTGCTGTGCGTGCTCGTCGGGAAGTTCGAGCCAGTCTCCGCCGGTGCCGCGGTGAGCCTCCAAGCTCTGGTGGAGTCCGAGAACTGGATCCACGCTCCAAAAGAGCTTGTCAACGAGGTGTGCTTCAGGGTGACGGCAGCTATGTCCGGGAAGTCGGCTCCGACGGTGGCTCACTTGCATCTGGCCTGCGCGGTTGCGAAGGTGAACAGGGAAGTTTTCGAGAGCTATGGACTGGAGCTCATGAATGCGGCAAAGTACATACTCCAAACAGCTGGTTCTTGGACTTTGAGAGTGGCCGCCGCAGAGCTCTTGAATCTGGTGCTGAGCATGGTGGACGGGATAGTTTTGTCGACAGAGATAGCATCTGTGATCGACGTTCTAGAGAGGTACCGGCTGGACAGGATGCCAAAGGTGAGGTCTGCGGTGGCCGAAGCGTTAAGGACGGCTAAGTCATGCTACTACAACGGCGGACGAGCGACGACGAAAATGATATTCTCTGTTGGAGTTGAGACAAAAAGGCGGCAAGAACTTCACGACGCGGGGATTCGATCGATACTGCTCCCTTCTTTTCACAACGAGTTTGGGAAGCGGGATGCTGGATTGAGAAGGGCTGTGGCTCCAAAGTTTGATCGCGGGGGTGGCGGCGGTGAGGAGGTTGGAGGATACGACTTTGTGATCGTGGAAGACTACGGGGAACCGTGCCAGCAGTATGGAAGACGCAGCGGGAAGGGAGCTGGAAGACGTTTTGGAAACAGAGCTGGGAAAGTTAAGAGCGAGCCCCGGGTGAGACACACAGTTTCAGCAGAACCAGGAGGATATGTTATACAGGAATGGATCAAGGTCGATGATCATGAACGGTTCCCTCATCCTCATTGTGGAGTGCTGGCTGGCATTGAAGAAGGGGAGGAGTACGAGGAGGAGCCGACTTACGTGAGAGAATCCATGTACAACAAGCAGTTCTATTCGCCGTCGAGCGAGAGGCATGTCGTGATCTTTGACGAAGATCAAGTGGTTACGGACACATGCAAGCGTCTGATCGAGGTTTGTGCGTTTTCTTTTGTTTTTGTTTCTTCTCAATCGCGTTTGCTTTCCAGAATTCTGAGGCACCGTCAACTTTCACTGGTCTCTCAGCTCCAGAACCCGTGCCGTCCACTTCGGAGCCAGGCAGTATTGAGCATCCAAGTAGCAGTAACTTGATCCAAGATCCTGAGCAGGAAGAATGGAGCGTGCGAGACAATCCTATCGCCGCGAAATCCGACGAAGGTAGAAGTCCCTACGAGAGATCTATCACACCTCCAGCGAGGCTGGACGCTGCTCGTTCTCCAAAGGCACAGGAAGTTATCATAAGCAATGCTGTGGTAGAAGAAATTTTCGAGCCAACACCTTTGCGTTGCGATGAAGAACAAATCCTCCAGCAAGAAGTAGCAGCGTTGGCTGGCATCAGTGACACGCGCAACAAGGAAAACAGGGACTCATCTGAACTAAACGACTGCAGCTTGAATTCTCCGGAACAGACAGAGCTCAAAGGCGAGAACGTCACCGAAGAAATGGTGGACACATTCCGGCGGTCATGGGAAGTTCTCGAGACGAATGACAAGCATGAAGTTAGCATGGGGGTTGTGGAGGACGACCAGGTGGTGACGAAAGTTTACTCTAGCAGGAAGCAGCAGCTGGTGAATGCTCTCACCGCATCGTTCACAGGCCGACTTTGGCAAGAACACCACCAAAGAGAAGGCTGGCACAAAAAGCTCCAGAGTGGAGTGGAGAGATTGCTCGGGGGGTCCGTCTGTGCGGCACTGGCGATCCCAGCAGCTATGGCTTTGATCAAGTGCTTGGAACCAAACTTTGGAGGCCGAGAGATGGTGCCAACGTGAAACTCGACCAAGATCAAGAGTTCGCTACGATCGAGCTAGAATCGGTCGGACTAAACGATCGAGAAGAGAAGCGATTTAAGTTTCGCTGTGGCGAAACGCTGGTGCCACTTGATCGAGACGAGGAGGTAATTTACTTTTTTTTTTCTCTTCCACCGCCATCGCCATCGCCATCGCAATCCTGTGTAAGCTCGCGCAACTAAAAAACCCCGCCCAGTGTGTGGAATATGCCCTGGCCGCCACGTGGCGTCCTATTATATTCCCCTTGTAAATTAAAAGCAATCACTTGGGACGCAAAAAAGCGGAAGGAGGAGGGTAGTGATCTTTTTGTGGTGATACAGATCTCCTTTGTTAGGGCATAGATCGCCGAGGCTTTAGGGTTTGAGCGGCAAGGGCGAGGGAGATGAAGATTTCCGTCAAGACGCTCAAGGGCAACCACTTCGATCTCGATGTGCAGCCGGCGGACACGGTAAGCGCGCTCACGAATTCGCTGCTCTGCCCGGCGCTTTCTCGCTTTTCGCCCCCTCGCGCAGCTGGGGTTCTTGGATTGCTCGAAACTTAGGGTTTTTGGCACAGGTGATTGCCGTGAAGAAACAGATTGAGGACCTCCAAGGCAAAGAGAGCTTCCCGTGCGCGCAACAGCTCCTGATTCACCAGGGCAAGGTTCTCAAGGATGAGACCACCATGGACGAGAACAAAGTCTCGGAGAACGGTTTCCTGGTAGTTATGCTCACCAAGGTATGTGCTGCGTGGTTTGTTGCTGTGATGGAGCTGTATCTAAGGTTTTGTTTGGTTTCCTCAGAGTAAAACCGCTGCCCCTACGTCGTCTGGTGCCACTCCAAGTAGCACACCGCAAGCTGCTCCAGCGACCGTGACGACCACGCCATCTCCGGCACCCCCGGCTCCAGCTCCGAGTCCCGCAGCTCCGGCATCGCCCGCTGCTCCAGCTCCAGTTCCAGCTCCAGCTCCAGCTCCAGCACCAGCTCCAGCTCCGGCTCCGGCTGTTACGCAGTAAGTAAATTGTATTTGCTTCATCTCTTCTGGTGCTCATTGTCACTGGTTTTTCTTCGCAGGCCTCCAGCAGCAACTAGCGATGTCTATGGACAGGCTGCCTCGAATCTCGTTGCCGGCACTGGGCTCGAGCAAACTATCCAACAGCTGGTAGACATGGGTGGTGGAAGCTGGGACAGGGATAGCTGCGCCCGCGCTCTTCGTGCTGCTTACAACAATCCCGAGAGAGCTGTGGAGTACTTGTACTCGGTAAGCTGCCTGGGATTTGAGTAGCTTACTTTGTTCTCTCGCTATAGGGGATTCCAGACGTGGCTGATGCTCCTCCCGTTGCACGGGCCCCTCCTGCTGCTCCTGCGGCTGCCACTGCTCCCCCGTCGGCAGCACCGACCGGTGGAGTGCCTGCTCCTGCGGCGACTGGTGGTCCTAACGCAGTTCCGTTGGATCTCTTTCCACAAGTACGTACTCGTTTGGTACTTTTGACATTTTCTTATTGTTTCCAACACCCTAGGGGATGCCTGGGCTAGCTCCGGCGGGTGGAGGCGGAAATGGGGCACTGGATTTTCTACGGAACAATGCACAGGTGAAGACGATGAGTTTTTTGGACTCTTATGAAGTTCCCTTTGTGTGCAGTTCCAAGCTTTGAGAACCATGGTGCAACAAAATCCCCAGCTGTTGCAGGTAAATTCTCGTGCCTCCCATGCCCGCTCTAACGGTGAGCTGTGCAGCCCATGCTCCAAGAACTGGGCAGACAAAACCCCCAGCTACTGCGCCTCATCAATGAAAACCACGTTGAGTTTCTTCGCCTGATAAGCGAAGCTGGGGGAGAGAACCCCGAAGCTGGGTACGTTTATCTTTTCGCCATGGATTGCTTTGCTTCAACTTTCTGGTGTGATGAATCCAGTGATTTGCTTGGACAACTAGCGGGAGCCATGCCGCAGTCGATCAGCGTCACGCCGGAAGAGAGAGAAGCGATTGAAAGGGTACGGAAGAAAACTCTTCGTGACTTTGGCGATGTAATGACTGTGGGTTTTGCTCGTTCTTCTTCCGTGCAGTTAGAAGCGATGGGCTTTGATCGGGCGTCTGTAATTGAAGCGTTCTTGGCTTGCGACAAAAACGAGCAATTGGCCGCCAACTATCTACTGGAGCATTCAGGGGACTATGAGGATTAGAAGTGAAACAAATTCTTTGCTGTGCATGAACGAAGGACGGTTTATTGAAAAAGGAATGTGCGTTTTTATGGAGAGAGAAGCATAACTAAGTTGGGTTTTTCTTTTTCTTTTGCTGCATCTAATATGTTAATACTGCAAAGCGATAATCTTTGATCTCGACAATTTTTAGCATTCTTTTTAGCATGGATTATCTTAGATCTTAAACTTCTAGCCTGGAAGTTTATCTTAGACCTCGAGCAAAATTTTTCTAGCATGATCCCGAGACAAGTTCTCTAAACATTTCTAGCGTGGATTATCGAGCAAAGGTTTTCTAGCATGGGTTATCTTCCTGAGACAGTTCTCCAAACATGTCTAGCGTGGATTATCAAAATCCAAAAGTTTCTAGCATGCATTATCTTAGATCTCGAGCAAAGTTCTTTCTAGCATGGAAGAGCCTTAGGTGGTGGAAGAAAGGATGTCTGCGCGACCTCCCACCATTCTCTCGGCTTGGAGTCCGCGCTCGCCGGTTCTAACACGGATCACATCCGCGACTGGGATCACTGCAAGCACACGCGGTTCTTGTTGGATTCCAAGTCCAGAGATTCTCGTCTTGCTTACCAAAAATCTTGCCGTCCCCGATCTCTCCAGTTCTCGCTTCTTCCAGAACCGTGTCGATCACAAGCTCCACCTGGATTTCCATGCAGAGATGAAACAAAAGTTTGTAAAGCAGCGAAGAAACCGACCTGATCCGCAGACACCACAACCTCCATTTTGATCTTTGTCACGAACTTGTCTTCCGAGAACTCGGAGCCTGTCAAGCCTCTCACGAGTTACAATCCTGGAAGCTTTTGTTCTTCAGAGGGAGAAAGGAAAGAAAACACACCGGCATGTCGTTCGAGAGCTCCACCTTGAGCGCCTAAACCACGAACATCGCTCACAGTTACTCCCCGAATTCCAGCTCTCAGCAATGCCTGATTGAAAGATCACAAAGCTTGAATCAAAAAAACCTTGCATCCCTGAGAGTTCTTACCCCTGATACTTGGGATAGTCTCCACGGTCTAGAAAAAAAAAGAGACAAGCAAAGAAATTCAAACCAAACACACAAATGCCATACCTTACAATAGCCTCTACCTTGTAAAAGTCGGCTCTAGGGCGATACTCTGCGAGAGAGAGGAAGAGAAAAGATTTCGAGCTCTAGACTGATCCAGAGCAGCAAATCGAAGAAGAATCTCCAGTCTTACCAGGTGTGCCATCGCTACTCATGGCTCGAACACCTACATTTGATCGTCGGATCCACAGCTCAGCCCCAGACGAAGAGGATCGCAACGCCAAGCGCGATCGCGGCGATGCTAAACGGGAGTGACATAGCTGCTGGCGATGCAAGGGATGGATCGAGGGGGCGCAGGCAACAGCGGCCACTTCCATTCCTCGTCAAGGGCGAAAAGGCTTCGAACCAGGGACCTTTTGGTAATCTCTTAGAATATTCTACTTACAGCTAGGGCAGCCTATAAAGGGAGACCTCTTAGCGAAGGTTTAGGGTTTATCGATTGGTATGGGGCGACGCTACATCACCGAGGGGGCGAGGAGAGCGAGCTCGCACTGCGATAGTGGCGAGCGACGAATAAAGAAAAGGAGCAGGGAATCAAGCGTGGATGAGAAGAAAGCCCTAAGAAAGGTACCAGAGATCACTGCTCTTTGTTTTAGTTCTTTTCCTTCCAGGTAATCAATCTGTGCTTTCAGGTAGCTAAGAAGATGAAAGCAGTCTCGGGCTACAGCAATCCTTTCGACTTGACTGAATTGTGAGTAGTTTTTTCTGCGTTCTTGGCAAGGTTTCTAGGTAGAGCTAATCCTCGTTTTCCAGGTTTGTTTGGAGGAAGAAGATCAAACGCAACTTTGCGAAGAAAACACTGAAGCTGAAAGATATCCGCGTGGAAGCTGAGAGGCAGCGACAGGAGGAAGCCGAGATGGAAACCGAGAAATGGGAAGAACGAGCTATGGAGAAAGAAGAGGAAGAGGAAGAGAAAGCAAGGGAGCGAGAGAACGACCGGGAGGACGAGGTATGATATACATGGGTTTTTGAGTATCCTTTTGCAAACTCTAACGCGTGAACGCAATGCAGCGTCTCTACATGAAAGTCACGACGACTGATCTTCTATCCAGACTCGTCGGCCTGAGGATGGCCGAGCCTTCTCACATCTTCAAGGGCCTTGGCGTGAAAGCAATGGAGGAGCTACTTGTCAAATTTCGCTTGCATTTGGAGGCGAACAAGAAAAATACCGAGCTCTGGGAGGCTATGACGGTTGTCTGCGACTCAGAGCTAGCAGAAGCACGAAAGAGAGAGGCTGGAGCTCGCGGTGGAGAGGACCATTTGGTGCTTGACGATGCTGGACTCCATACTAGCAACGTGAACACTTCCCTCATAAACATGAGCTCTTGTCAACTCCAGGAAGAGAAAGAAAATATTGAAGAAAAACTAAGATCTGGATCAGCCAAGAACGTCGAGTTCTGGAAGAGAGTGCGCGTCTTCAAAGCCAAGGTAAGCAAAAACGTCTTGTGCTTTGTTTCACGATTTAAGTTCTGACATAGATGCAAACTTACAGGCACGGCTCCGAGAAATAGCCATGGATCTTCTAGCGCAGCAGCACCACGAGATTTCAAGCGAGGAGGTTATAGAGGAAGCGATGGCTCCTCGCTCTCCTGAGCCGATTCCTCGTCAAGCGGTTCGAGGAGTGTCCGGCGCCAGCAGAGGGAAAGTCTAGAGCATTCAATCGATTGAAACGGCTCAAGCAAGAGAATCAATTTTTCTATATGTAAAATGATCTTAGTCAAAACAAACGAAATCGGCCGTGAGATTGTACAAGTTTATGTAGAGATAAAAGTGCCTTGGCCACCGATGTTCGATTACATCCCTTTCTACAAAGATCTCTCTTCAAGCTTTGGTTGTGTGGGAAACGCCTCTTGTTCCTCTGGACGAAAAGCTGGATCATCAGGATCCTACTTGGGTAGAAGTCCAAGCATTTCTAAAGGGATGAGATATAGAAAACTCCGCCACGGCGTCCTCTTGCTCCTCATCAAGGCTGTCGTTCTCATCAGGGCAGGAATTCAACAGCCGGAAGTCCAAAACTTGGAATTTCTCAGCTCGTGGTGTTTGTCTGTCCTGATCATGAATGCCTGCCCAAAAAAAATGAGGAACAAACAAGTAAAATGCAAAGCTTGCTCAGATTCGTGCTAAGCTCTTGGATGCTGGGAAAGTGCATAAAAAACTCCATGATCCAGAAGGACTCTTGGCCATCATTCCTTGGAACACTTGGAAAAAACTTTAAACATTCCAACTGTGGCATCTCTTTAAAGAAAAACTATGAATATAACATGAATAAAAAAAGTTTGAGTATTTTGTTCAAAACTTTTATAAACTTAAAATAATTACCACATATCATTTTTGGGATGATAATTAGTATTTGAATAAGTTTCCACGTGGTACAATAGTTTAAACACAGCCACTTGTGCAAATTAGAGAATTCTCCTGAATATATTTAAATGTGCATTTAGACCAAATAAATTTTATTGATAGAAATATTTTACTTACAACCTTTTGGCAACCTCCTATAAAAATGAGGTCGCAAAGATTTAGGGTTTATCGATTGATATGGGAGGCTGCGTTGATCTTGACGAGCGACGTAGAAGGAAGAGAGGCAGGGTGAGTCAATACACCGAGGAGGAGATTCACGATTATCTTGTGAAGAAAGCCCAAAGAAAGGTACCTAGAGATCACTGTTTTTTGTTTTAGTTCTTCGTTACTAAATCCTGTGTTTTCAGGCAGCCAAGGTAGCTAAGAAGCTGAAACCACAGTTGGTCTCGGGCTATTCAGACGACAGCAATCCTTTCGGAGACTCCAACTTGACTGAGAAGTGAGTAGTTTCTTGTGCGGTTTTGGCGAGGTTTCTAGAGCTAATCCTCGGTTTCTAGGTTTGTGTGGAGGAAGAAGATCGAACGCGACATTGCAAATAAGGCACTGAACTTGAAAGATATCTCCGTGAAAGCTGAAAGGGTGCGCCAGGAGGAACAGATGGTAAGTTAGAATCTCTTCTTTAGATCGCTTGTTTGTTGCTCGGTTTTGCTCATGTTCTTGTGTTTCCAGAAGGAAATCGAGAAGGTTAAGAAGAAACGGGAAGAGAGAGCCATGGAGAAAGCAAAGAACGAGGAAGAGAAAGCCATGCTAGCAAGAGAGCGAGCAAGGGCAGAGTTCCAAGACTGGGAGAAAAAGGAAGAAGAGGTATGATATAAATGTTTTTTTGCGTATCCTTTTGCAAGTTCTAATTACGCGTGAATGCACTGCAGTTTCTTTTCCACCAACGGGAAGTCCGTGCCGAGATACGCATCAAGGAGGGCCGAGCCACGAAGATTGATCTTCTATCCAAGCTCGACGACTTGAGGATGGCCGAGCCTTACCTCATCTTCAAGGGCCTTAGCGTGAAAGAAATGGAGAAGCTACGTGAAGAACTTCGCTTGCATTTGGAGCTGGACAGGAAAAATACCGAGTTCTGGGAGGCCATGACGGTTGTCTGCGACTCAGAGCTAGCAGAAGGACGAAAGAGAGAAGCTGGAGCTTGCGGTGGAGAGGATAATTTGGTGCTCGACGATGCTGGACTCCATACCAGCATTGATCTAGACGTAAACACTCTCCTCCAAAACATGACCTCGCGTCGACTCCAGGAAGAGCAAGCAAAGATAGAAGAAAAGTTGAGATCTGGATCAGCCAAGAACGTCGAGTTCTGGGAGTCCGTCCTGAAGAGAGTGCACGTCTTCAAAGCCAAGGTAAGCAAAACGTCTTGTGCTCTGTTTCACGATTTAAGTTCTGACATATAGATGCAAACTTACAGGCACAGCTCCGAGAAATAGCCATGGATCTAGCGCAGCAGCACCACGAGATTTCAAGCGAGAAAGTTATAGAGGAAGCGATGGCTCCTCGCTCTCCTGAGCCGATTCCTCGTCAAGCGGTTCGAGGAGATGGGATTCCAGGGTTTGCGAGAGCAGAGCTGGGAAAAGTAGAAGACGCCGATGCTGAGTTTGGCTCCGGGGCGGAAGTCAGTGTGGAATCTGATCACGTAAACCTGTGGCGTGACAAGTACAGTCCACGAAAGCCCAAGTACTTGAACAGGGTCCATACGGGATACGAGTGGAACAAGTACAATCAAACGCACTACGATCACGATTCTCCGCCACCAAAAACTGTCCAGGGATACAAGTTCAACATCTTCTACCCCGATTTGATCGACTGGACGAAGGCACCAACGTTTGCGATCGAGAGAGACGGGATCAGTGGCGATACTGCCATCATCAGATTCACTGCGGGTGCTCCATACGAAGATATTGTAAGTGTTTGATGGTTTCTCTTCGTTGTGCTCGTTGTTTTCCATTCTAACTTGTGTGCTACAGGCGTTTCGCATCGTCAACAAGGAGTGGGAGCGCTCCCCCAAGAACGGATTCAAGTGTACATTTGAGCGAGGTATCCTCTGCGTTTACTTCAATTTCAAGCGATATCGCTACAGGAGATGATGGAAGGCTGATTTTGTAAAAAGTGTCCAGCGCTACCAAATTTGTGTAACGAAATCAAACCATGAAGTCCTGTCCTCCCTGTATGATCCTTGTCAAGTCCTTTTTTGGACTTTATATTGACTGGCATTGACTTTACATGAGCTCAATGAAGCATAACTTAGACCATCACGGCTAAAACGAATCAATCCTCGAAGTATGATCCTTGTTGGCTCCACTCCGGCGACGAATCCGACCAGCAGCGAGGAGCGTAACCCCAGTTGGAGTAAATCCATCTCTCCGCCAGCCTCAGCACCCCGCTCGAATCCAGCACCCGGTTCCAAACCCCCGACACGATGCAGTAGTTCCCATCGAAAGGCTCCCGGTGGTGCTTGCCGTGCATTCTCGTCGACACGAGCACCCCAAGATCCTGGAGCGCCCTCACAACTCCTGGAAGTTGGCTGCGCCGGGTGTGAGCCCACGAGTGGAACTGCTGGCTGAAGACCACGCATCCCAGGAAAACTCCCAGGAACGCATCCACGGGGCCACTGCCGGGAGTCGCCACCAAAACCGGGACGAGAAAGATCGTTGCCGGACGAGCCAACGAGTGGATGTTGTTGGAGAAGTCGCGCTTGGTGATCGTCCAGGGACGCTTGTGGTGCCCCTGGAACGCGTCGATCTGGGGGCCGAAGAGTGGAGTCTTGTCGTCGCCGTAGTTGTCGATCCCCCAGTGGTAGATGCCGGTGGCCAAGTCGGCTAGAACGTAGGCGGACAGGATGGCGAGTGTTGAGAGACCTGCGTCGGAGCTTGTCTCGATGCCAGCCGCGGACTTTGCTAGCATTCCCAGCAGCGAGGAGCATCCGGCAAACACCCATAGCCTGTGCTCCATCGTCGAGCTCAAACTGGTATCATTGCTTCCCATGTCTTTGATCCTCGCAGCATTCTCCTTGTCCCAGGAAATGGCCTCGTCGCAGAGAACTTGGAGCACTGGAGGAGGAGCATCTCCCAAAGCTTCTTCACTAGCTTGTGGAACTCTGGATGATCCCTGGAGCCTCGCAAGTTCTTCACGAGTGACTTTGAGTGATCCCTCAGTGTCGGTGTCCTTGACACAGATCTGGCAAGTCACCGCCTGCTGCCTGTAAAATCCCGATCGTCCCAAAGAGTAGTACCTTGTTGCAAGCTTTCCAGAGTAAGATGTGCTTCTCCATCCAGTGAGAACTTCCATATCTCTTGCACTGCGTCCCAAAGTTCTCTGGTTCTTCGCAGCTCTCCCTTTTGTATCGTCATACTTGTGTATCAAATTCGTCATCGCAGTGGCGCTTTTTCCACCTCAAAAGCTCATGGCCGACGGTGGCGCTCGCTCCACGCTAGAATGTTCGCATACTCTTTATCCCCGGATATCCTCGCTGGCTTTGGACCACGTATTAGTCGCGGAGTTTAGCTGTAAACACCGAGAAGCTTTCCTCCTCGGACCTGGAAACTTTGGCCGTTTTAGAAGCATAATTCGCTGGCTTCGACCGTGCCTTCTCGCATCTTCCCTGCGGAGCTTGCGGGTTCCTGTTTTCTTTCATCTGGCCCTTGCGGATATCGGTGGTCGCGTCCACTTTTACTTGCCTGTTCTTCTCGCCAAGAACAGGCCTGCTCGCAGTAGCTTGTTTCTTCGATGGAGCATTCCTGTCTGGAGCCTTGGTGGATCTTAAGCTTTTCGCCCAGTCGAAAGTTTTCCCCCAGAAGCGTGGTGACAGTCGCAAAGTTTTTAGTTGCTCTTCCAGGCGCACAGGTTTTTCCGCTTCTACGAATTGCGTTTTAGTCACACCTTCCTTTTGTCTCGACTTAGTTGGGCCTTTCTTCTCAGTATTGTCACTCGACTTCACGAGCTTTTTCTCCCTCGGGACGTTGTCTCTGGATTTTTCCGGATTGGAGCGTGCCAATCGCGTCCCTCCTACGTTCTCCTTTTGCAAGATCCTGACTCGTTGCTGAAAGTTCTTTTCGTTGGATGGCTTCTTACGGGAGACATTCTCTGCTGCGAAGCTTTTCTTCGACAAAGGGTCGCTTAGTGCCATCTTTTTCTCTTCACGCTCGCATTGTAAGTCGGCCAGCTTCTTTGACAGCGCCGCGATCCCACTTTGCAGCTCTTCCTCGAGCCTACGATCGTTCTCATCTTCCAGCTCCGCCTGGACGATCGTTTCTAGCAGCTCTCCTTCAATGTTACGATCCGGACCATGAATCCAGCATTCATCGAAACTTCTTTCCACACCACGTTGCAATGTAGCTGGCGTGGCCAAAGAACAAGCCTCTCTAAAAGCTGGATCATCGCTGAGAACTTTCCTCGTGGAAGTTAAGGACCCGAAAGACACAGCACCGATCACGCCAACATTGACAGCGAACTTCCCAGCGGACGAGAAATTCTTCGCTGTGGAGCTCCATGATCCCTTCAATCCAGGCCGCCGCTCGCTGGAGCTAGAGCTACTGCCAATGGTCTCGGATCGATAGGCCGCATTGCTCCAAACCACAGCACACTCGCTGTGGAGGGCCGTGGTGGAAGAAGAATCATCAGGGCGCTGAGAAGCCGACGAAGAGGGATCGCCTGCCAGGCCAAGGCACCACTAAGTCTTTCCGCTCGCTCAATCGAAGATTACCTGAGGGAAAGTCCTTGCGCTGCAATGGCGGCGTCGATCTGGCCGCCCTGCGATTGCAGGAGTGCTTGGATTCGACCGCTCGCTTCTTCGTCTCCCTCGCCCGCCCGGAGCTCCACATTTACTACGCTGCCTAGAACCCTAACGAGATTTTAGCCGATCAAATAAACCCTAAAATCTCATTATTTCGTTACATTTTAGGATCCCAGCACGATCGAGCGTCTTCCGATGGCTTCATCTTCCGCGATTCGAGCGTCTTCCAATGGCTTGCAGAAGGTAAGATCCTTGAGAGGTTGCACATCAGATCCTTGTCCAAGCTCGAGCTAGTTTCTCCATTTAGTATCTTATGCACTCTTGAAGTATGGGGCGATTGTTTTACTGTTGGAGAGTTGGAGTCATATCATAGTCTTTTCTTGGGAAAATGCCACAATTGGAGTGTCTAAAGCTTTTTCCAAGCTTTTCAGGAGACAAAAGCCAAAAGTCACTATGCATCGTGGAATTTTTCAAGTGCTTTCCCAGCATCCAAGAGCTGAGGACGAACCTAAACATGTTGTGCATAAGCTTTACACTTTCCTTGATTGCGCATGCCTCACTGGATGGATCTGTTTGTTGGTGACCAGGTATTCAGGAGCAACGAATACAAGAAGCTCAACCTTGAGAAGCTTGAAGTTTTGGATGTTCGCCTGCTGAATCTCAGCCCTGATGAGAACGACGAGTGTGACGATGAGAAAGAAGAAGCTGTCAAGGAGGCAACAAAAGTTTTTCTGGCTGCGGCACCCAACGCGGACTTTCGCTTGACTGTCCCAGGTATTCCAGTTTTGCATTTTATCATCCCTTTAGAAATGCTCGAACTTGTAACACTCTTGACATTTCTTGCCATCCGAGCACGTTGCTGTTAACTCGTATCATCCGGCTCAGATTCAGGAAAGAAAGTGACAGACAAGTTCAACATGCAAGATTGCAAGCAATGGATCCAGGTCTTGTGCTGTCTAAGACGAAATCGAACATGAGGGGCCATGGGATGTATATAGCCAGCCTGGAGTCTAATCCAAGGTGGCAAGAGATTCATGTGGACGCTAAAATGAGTGGGCACAAGATTTGTATATATTTACATGGAGAAAATGACAAAGTGGTAGTTAGGGTATCGGAGTAAACGATGATCTCATGGGCAAAACAAGACCACGCAGCGAGCAGCAAGGCTACACAGACTCTAGATCGCGTGACTGCTTGACTGCAGCAGAAGAAGAGGAAGGGAAAAATCCGTGTTGTAGAAAAATTCATTCAAGATCAGGGTTGGAGCGTGCTGGAAATTGTAGAAGAAATGACCAGGAAAAATCCGTGCTGTAGAAAAATTCATTCAAGATCAGGGTTGTAGCGTGTTGGAAATTGTAAAAGAAATGACCACAACTAAGGCAATACCAATCCCTCTCTTTACAGGCACAGATTTTGAGAGATTTCGTTCTTCTTTCTCCGGGACTGTCCAGGGATAGACCTTAAGTCAGCGGAAGACGAATGGCAGGTCAGAGGCAACTTGCACCACCACCACCTGGATATCACGAAGACCATAAAAGAGAATTGGTTGAAGAATGTATTCAGAACCAAGCCAGCCCAGAGATTTCAAAAGTTGAGTTAAAGTCTAAACTTTTTCACTTAAAAATGGCAGCAAACGAGACTCCAACAGCTTTTTTAGGAAGGCTGAAGTCAGTGCTCTCCCAGCTGTCAAAGTCTAGGTGAAGTCACCGAGAATGATAAGTGAGCATCTTTGGTTCGCCCAGAATTGAAATCATTGAAGACTATGCTCAAGAACTCGATGAAAACCTTCATTGAAATGCAAGTAGTTCTTATCAATGAAGAAGGACCAGCTGAATACCAAACACCCATAGATACAACCACAACCACAGCTTTGTTTGTCAACTCAAAGCAAATAAAGAATTCTTCGGCAGCACTAGCAGTTTCAAGGCTAGTGTGAGCAACACTGCGAGCAGTTTCAAGGTTAGCAATGTTGGAGATAGCAACTCACGTGAGTGTAAAGGTGAGTGCAATTATTGTAAGTGGGTTGGACACTACACCAGAGAATGCTGAGACAGGTTAGCCGGGTGTCCTCAAGGATTGGGGAAAAAGAATATACAAACCAGTCAAAAGCTCTCATGGTAAGAGCTATTCCAGAACCAGTGTTTGTTCAGCAGCAAGATCAAGACGTAATCTCATTGGACACAGCAGCAAATATGCACATGACTTGTATAGCATGAGTAGTCATCAATGCAAAGCTTCTCACCTGCTAGTTATGTGCATATTTGATGCTGTGTCCAGCGAGATTACGTCTTGATCCTGCTGCTGAACAAACACAGGTTCTAGAATAGCTCTTACCATGAGAACTCTTGACTCCTTTGTATATTCTTTCTCCCCAATCCTCAAGGATGCCCTACTAACCTGTCTCGGCATTCTCAAGCATAGTGTCCAACCCACTTACAATAATTGCACTCACCTTTACGCTCGCATGAGTTGTTGTCTCCAACATTGCTAGCCTTGAAACTGCTCACAGTGTTGCTCACACCAGCCTGCTGCCAGAAAATTCTTTGTTTGCTTTGAGTTGACAAACAAAGTTGTGGTTGTGGTTGTATCTGTGGGTGTTTGGTCTTCAGCTGGTTCTTCTTCATTGATAAGAGCTGCTTGCATTTCAATGAAGGTTTTCATTGAGTTCTTGAGCATAGTCTTCAATGATTTGAATTCTGGGCGAACCAAAGCATTGAGAAGAATTGCTCGCTTATCATTCTTGGTGACTGTTTCACCTAGACTTGACAGCTGGGAGAGCACCAACTTCAGCCTTCCTAAAAAAGCTGCTGGAGTCTTGTCCGCTACCATTTTTAAGCCAAAAAGTTTAGACTTTAACTCAACCTTTGAAATCTCTAGGCTGGCTTGGTTCTAAATACATTCTTCAAGGCTGTCCAATTCTCTTTTGCGGTCTTTGTGATATCCAGGTGGTGGTGGTGCAATTTGCTCAAGCCAATCCCCATGGTGGAGACTGCCTTATCATTTCTGACCTGCCATTCGTCTTCATCGCTTGCTGCTACTTAATCTCTGTCCCCTGGACAGCTCGGAGACAGTTGTCCCGGAGAAAGAGGAATGAAATCTCTTTCACCCAATTCTCAAAATCCATGCCTGTAAAGAAAGGGATTGCTATTGCCTTAGTTGTGGTCATTTCTTCTACAATTCCAGCACGCTCTAACCCTGATCTTGACTGAATTTTTCTACAGCACGGATTTTTCCATTCCTCTTCTTCTGCTGCAGTCAAGCAGTCATGCGATCTAGAGTCGTGTAGCCTTGCTGCTCGCTGCGTGGTCTTATTTTGCCCATGAGATCATCGTTTGCTCCAATACCATTACCACTTTATCATTTTCTCCATGTAAATATATACAAGTCTTGTGTCCGCTCATTTCAGCGTCCACATGAATCTCTTGCCACCTTGGATTAGACTCCAGGCTGGCTATCTACATCCCATGGCCCCTCATGTTCGACTTTGTCCCTGGGTACAAAGATCTCCGAATGACAGCTCCGGATTTGTTCGAGATTAAAGAGGTTTCAACTTGAAGAAGTGAAACGTATTTCTCTTCTATTTCTCGCTTGATTCCTCAGCTTTCATTGTTGTAGCATAAACATCGATGTCATTTTCTTAACGCTTTGGTGATGGTGACTATAGCGGGGAGGCCCAGCAGAGCGGCAGAGAGAGCGGCCGAACGAAAGGGGAGGGTTTCGCGCTAAATCCGGTTGGCC